ATAAATAAATAAATAAATAAATAAATAAATAAATAAATAAATAAATAAATAAATAATCCTTAATGTTAGGATTCAAATACATCAAGGTGTTCCTTGATGCTTATTACCATAAAATTCTCTCTATTTTTTAAAAATCTATATTTTCTGAAGTGTTTTATAATGTAAAAGTCCCGTTCAGGGCAAAATCTTGAACAATTTCCCAGATCAATTTTAATGAGCTAGGTTCAGTTGTTTGTTTCATTTGATCAGATGGATTCTTTCTTTTAAAAAAATAATCTAAGAATGCAAGCATTATGTTACAAAAAAAAAGACTGCCTCGGAAGAATTTAAGGATTCTTTTTTTTTTAAGTGTTTAATCAAAAGTGAGTCCTCTCATTTGTTTTGGGAATATTTCAAAAAAATCTCTTCCCTGGAGCATTTTTTACATTTAATTAAATTTAATAGCTCGATTCCAGGGGATAGATCATTATTTAACAACTGTAGAGTTGTCTAACTGGTTAGATAGCAAATAGTTTTGTTGTTTCAACCAAAAAAAAGAGAGGGAAAGCGTGATTTCTATTCTCTGCTGCATAATGCTATAATTTATTCTGCCCCTCGTAAGAAAACATCCTTTAGACTTTCAAGTAAGAAAAAAGACCTCAAAAATAACATACTTCAGATGAAACTGTGTTAACCATTCCAGCTGCCCAAGGATATACTATAATTCTTTTCTAGAGCTGCAAGATTTATGTCAGACTTATTGTTTACGGGTAACCTCTTGTGTGCTAACAATACTTTTCAACTCCAAATCGTTTCCCTCAAGAACATTGTTTTAAGTTGCTTCATCACTTGGGTGATTGCACTAAATAATATTTTACGCTTCATATCATTTTGTTCCCACTTTTTGTTGGTCTAAAGAAACAATATGCTCCTCAAAATGAATTGTAAATACTTCAAGGTATTTACAGATAAAAGAAATACTGTCTCTTGGGACTCCAAATGTTCTGTCACATAGCTTTTGGCTGCTCAAAACGGTTCTAGTGCTACAGAAGGCAGAGTCGAAGGCAGAAATACAATGGACTTTGACCATAGAAACAGGAGTGTCAAGGAGAAGGATGTCAAAAAAGTTTAGATCAATGATTCTCAAACTTTTCATCACCATGGACTCACATTTTGTGGCCACAGACCATGGACATGGGCCCCCAAGACTTAACTCAAGATTTATATTTTTTCAATCCTTCACAAACCCCGTGGCAACATTGCAGCTCTCCAGGGCTTCGCGGACCACAAGTTGTGAACTACAGGTCTAGATGATAGCTACACAGTGTTATTAAAACCTTGCTTTTTTATGTGTTTCTAGCGTGTCATCATATATAAAACAGGAGCAAGACTTTGACTGTTCAGTAACAGCCACTATATCTATGGAGTTTCTCAATCATCCAGGTCATAGTTGTCTCAAAGATGCTTTTTCAAAAGACAGCTGGGCTGTCTTTGGAGGAGGGGGGAGGAGGAGGAGGATGAGGAAGGAAGGAAGGAAGGAAGGAAGGAAGGAAGGAAGGAAGGAAGGAAGGAAGGAGAGGGAGAAGGAGGAGGAGGAGGAGGTGGTGGTGGTGGAGGTGGAGGTGGAGGTGGAGGTGGAGGTGGTTGTTATTTCATTTCTCATCCTTCAACTCCCCCAACAGTCACAACTGATGAAGCTTCTTTGATGAGAAGTGAAATGTTTTCTTTTTCTTCCTCAAAAAATGGTTCCACCACAAAACCACGTTCGACTAAAGCGCGCTCGACGAAACCGCGTAGCTGACGTCATCAACAGGGCGACAACAGAGCAGAGACAGAAGCACGCTGTAAACCCTAAACCTAAANCTCGACCTACGACCACAATCGTGCCCAAAATTTCAGTCGCTAAGTGAGACAGCCATCAATTGAATTTTCCCCAATTTTACACTCTTTCTTGCCACCGTTGCTAACTGAATCCCTGCCTCTGTTAAGTGAACCATGCAGTCATGAAGCAAATCCCGCTGACTTTCCTGGCCAGAAGCCGTCTGGCACGTTGCAACAACCGTCGTAACTCTGAGCCCATTGCCAAGCGTCCCAACTTTGATCCCGGTGACCCACAGAGACGCTGCAACAAAACAGCCTTAAGGGTGAAAAACGATCCCTTTTTTTTTCAGCGCCGCTGTCACTCCGAACGGTCACTCAGCGAGCCGTCGTACGTCGAGGACTACCGGTAAAGCTACCCATACACCGGAGCCCCCCCGCCGCTAAGAGTGGCTAACCAAGCCAGCCCTCACTTTGCACCCGGAAGTACAGCTGCCTGGAGGTGGCCCCGTGGGCGTTGGTGGCCGTGACGTTGTAGGTGCCTTGGTCTTCCGGCACCACGCCGGTCATCTCCACCCGCAGGGCGTTGGCTCCGGTGGTGACGCTGACGCGGGGAGAGGCCGGCCCCTCCTCCTTCTGGCTGGTGGCCAAGAGGGCGGCTCCCTTGTACAGGGCCCAGCTGGCTGGAGGGTTGCTGTCCACCGAACACTGGAAGACGGCCACGCTCCCACTCTGGCTCTCCGTGAAAACGGACACCTGCAGGTTCCTTGGGGCGTCTGAAAGCAAAGAGCATCCCTGGTTAGCGCCACCTGGCATCAGGTGGGGGGGCAAGGCCAGGAGGCACACGGGGGAGGGCACACATCAGGGTCACCCGTCCCTGTAAGGATCTGGCGAGTGGATAACAAACAGATGCCTAAAAATTTCCTCTCCAACCTATCCTGGTCTTTCCTGGCTTTTATCCTGCAGAAAAACAGCAAAAAAACCCCTATTTTCTATGCAATTCGCACCATCCTTCTTGCAAACCGCAGTTTCCCAGGCCTGGTTTAATTAAGCTGGCAACCCACCATGGCTTGGCAGAGTTTTGGAATATCCTACGACGATATCTGTAACACCGTCAAACATCCAGATGGTCCTTGGGACGGATTTGGTAAAGATAAAGNGAACTGGATGGGTGGAAGCTGCCAGCATGGCAGTGGGAGATTGGACCATGGGATGGACTTGTGGGTGTGGGGGCAAGATCTTGAACTTTCAACTGAGGGGGGGGGGACCGGGAAGCTTTCGGATTCGGGTTTTCCCAGATGTGCCAACGTGGCTCTCTTCATAAATTGGAACTTTGAGGAATCCTTTGCCTTGGACTCTGATTTACTTTTGGATCCTATTTGGAACCCTGACATTAACCTGAATCTCCATTAAAATACTTCACCAGCTACTCCGAATTTCAGGCTGCTCTCCGGGGTCCTGAGCCCCAGTGCTGACCCGAACCCGGCCAGCGTAAAGACTTAGGGAGGAGTCGGGTGACGGACGAGTATTTATCCCGAGCATGTTTCACCTCAGCAGTTACGGATGGCCGTTCACATTTTTCTGGGATTTTGTTCTATGAAGCCATCCTTTCCATATAGAAGAGAAGGTTTATTTCCCTGGTTTGACCTGGGGGCTCCTCGGTGCACTCTGAGACCGGATCGATGATGATTTATTGAATGTTTAATACCGTCCATCTTGCTATCTCTTAACTTGAATCAAGTCTGTGCCAACCTCAGAGAGAGAACCAAGGGCCCCACGCGGCACCCTTCAAACCTGTGATGACTTTTCTCTGGTCGAATCCCATGCTATGGCAGTCCTGGTGGCCGGGGAATTCTGGGAGTTGAACTCCACAAACTTGTTCGAGTTTGGAGACCTCTGGCATAAGATCTCGAACGGGATTGGACTAGAATAGATGACCTCCAAATTCCCTTCCAGCTCTGTTATTCTGTATGCTGCCTTCGGCAGGGCAGGTAAATAAGCCAATAGCACCACCTGCTGGCCATAGAAGGCACTGCCAGGAATCGGTTTTCCTTAGATTTATATCTTTAGCTGGGGGGGCGTGTGTGTGTGTGTGTGTGTGTGTGTGGTGTGTGTGTGTGTGTTTGGGGGGAGGCATGCTGGGATGGAGGAAGACACCCCCCCTTCTTATTTTGATCTCATATTTCACAAGGGGGAGCTCTAAGGAAGGTTTGAGTGGGAAGCAGA